TGTGTTGTACCCAAATCCATCCAAGAACCTTTGTTAAGAGCAGTTTCTTTTTTTCCTGTTGTCTTCATTCTTGTAAGAAAAGGGAGCTGTGTAACTCATTGTTCGTCATTCCTTCGCATTGTCCGTTTCATAAAATATGTTCATTACATTAACACCATGTAGTTGATATCTGTTTCTGTTTTGGTATTATCCCCACATATGCTTGTAGTAAGCAAGCATAGAAACAGTTCTTTAGAAAGCCATTAAATCTTGACTACTTAAATAAATAATCTCATAGGCTGCCACTTCAGTCTTCAAGTCTCAGTTCACTGATCTAGTTAAATACTGATAGATAAATGTATCTTTAAATTTAACTTCAGTAGAAACTAGTTATGAAAATCAGAAAGATAAAAATAAATGCAAATATGTTAAATATGATTATATATCAGTGGAACCTCCCTTTCCTTCCCGTCTTTCCCCTCCTCTCTGCTCACATGCAAGTTTTCTTTTGCTGTTCAGCATCTTCTGGCATGTAGAGATTGCTTCCAGAAGGCGAACCTATGTAGTAGTACACGTATCTAAACATTAGGAGTGCAATTCTTTTTTACATTTCATTTTTGAGGGAAGGAACAAGTAATCTTACTAATTTTCTTCCCACTGCAAAAAAAAAAAAAAATTCTTCAATAGCTGTGAAGCTTTCGAGGCTTTAGCATTCTTTCAGTTTTGTTTTGGTTTTGTTTTGTTTTGGAGAGGATTGCATTTTCTCTGCAGGAGAAAATGTTGGTTCCTATAGGGAAAAACATGCCAAGTTTGTTCATAAGATTATCTTTCACAGTCTAAGAGTTTTCCAACACTTGAGAAACAAATTTTTAATCATTTGAAAAATATTTTCAAATATGCTCATCATCCTTACTACATATGCCACACATCTGTAACCTGTTGGGAAGCATGCAGTGTGTTTCTCCCAGCCTAATTTCACTCATTGTCCTAAATTGCCCTTCAAAAACAGCCTTTAATATTGAAAGTAAAAGAAAAATGCTTTACTCCAGCAAACACAAAGAATAAGCAAATGCAATTGAAAATGCAAAAGAAAACAAGGAAGTCTTAATCCAGACACAAATTCAAGTTTCTTACAAGGTCCTCAAAAGAAACATCAGTCTTCCATCAGACAACAGATGATGAACTAAGTTCTTAGCAGCAGACACAAAGCAGAATTCCATAGGAGTGAAAACAGCAGTATCAGGGTTGTTACCAGGTAAAGCTGATAATCCTGCCTCCGATTTATAGCCCTGAATTTCCTACGCAGGAGGAGGTAGGGTGTCTCCTAATTAGTTCTGCATTTTTAGCAGCTATTCTGGCTGTACAGCATCTGTGCTCTGTCTCTTTTCATCTCTCTAGAAATGTGGGCACTTTCAAACCCTCATTGTATGATTCTTCTTCTCCCTCCAAATCCTGAGCACTTTCTTGCTCCCCTTCCTCTTCCGAAGATGAGGAATCCCCAACACTCATGTCTCTACACCTTGATAGGAAAATTCTTTAACATTTTATTTATTTATTTATTTATTGTCATGTCAGGAGCGACTTGAGAAACTGCAAGTCACTTCTGGTGTGAGAGAATTGTCCGTCTGCAAGGATGTTGCCCAGGGGACGCCTGGATGATTTGATGCTTTTATCATCCTTGTGAGAGGCTTCTCTCATGTCCCCACATGAGGAGCTGGAATTGATAGAGGGACCTCATCGGCCTCTCCCCGGATTTGAACCTGCAACCTGTCGGTCTTCAGTCCTGCCAGCACAGGGGTTTAACCCCTGCGCCACCGGGGGCTCCAACATTTTATTGGGAAATTGTAAAAAAAGAAAAGAAAAACAGGGCATGATCTTTTTATTGTTAGTTTCACTTGACTGTTCCCAACAAGAGATAATATCACTGGGAAAATAAAATATATGAAGCTATATATTCAGGGCTGTTTTATATGCTGGGGACAAATAGCTGACATAATGCAGTGGACTGTTGCTGTTAAACATCTTTAGCCAATAAGGGAATGTCATGATGATAACAGTTGGGCTTTTAAGTTATTAATAACTTCCAAGTCCTAAAACTTTAATAATTGCCAGCCTCATGGTATTATTGTAAAATTAAAGGATGCATAAGATTTTACACATTTATTTTCCTTACTTTATCATCAACTTCTGTCTAAATATCCTAAAGTCATGAGATCACCACTGATCCTGGAGGCTAAGCAGGGTTGGTCCTGGTTAATACCTAGGTGGGAGACTGCCAACAAATGCCAGGTGCTGTAGGCTTTAATTATGCATAATGCTGCATATATACAATACTTACATTATGTATATAGTGCTATATATAATTAGGTTCTGATTTTTTCACACAGATGGTTTATATTTTTATGAGATACAGGAAGCCTGTTCTTTAGAGTTTACTTTATCACAATACTTATTTACATATGAAAGAAAGACATTGAGTGAAAATCAGTCTATGTGATCCTGCACACTTACTTTCCTAACATCCCCCTTCCCCTTTTTCCGATATTCCCTTTCATTCCAAGGCATGGTCTACTAATGTATGGCAGGGATTGCTGGCCAAATTGAGAAATAGTTTGATGAATACGCCAGTGCTCTTATCATAAACTTTTATCAAAAAATCACTGTATGAGTACTTCTTTTAGGCTACATGAAATGTTTTCCCAAAGAAATCCCCAGTCTGTCATAAAGAGCAGTATAACTTGAAAATGTCCTCATTGGCCCATTTACTTTCCAAATCAAGGGCAATCCATCAATTGCCTAGACTCCTCTTTGCAATAAAAAAAGGCCCAGAGTTGTGCTTAACTCTGTTTTCCCTCTAAACCCCAGAGTGATATCAGGAGGCAACCATCACCTATCCCTAGGCAGATGATGGAAGATCAAAAACTGGGAGACTGGAACCAGATTCCTGTTGGTGCTTTACACTGATGTAGTGAACTGTTTGGAGGAGGACATAGGGAAAGGCACAGAAAGGAAAATGCACAGAAAGCTGGCACTGTTGGGAAGGAACCTGACTTGATTACATCTAACAACTTTCTCTCCTAATAGTAATGGCTTTCTTTGCCTTGTGCCATTGTCATAGCACCTTCAACCATTTGACTCAAGATGCTGGCCATTGTAACATTAATTACATGATGAGAGATGACAACAGCTGTTTCCTCTTTATATTACTCCTACTAAGAATTGAATCAGCCACAAAGTAATTACCAGTTACTAAAAGACAATTTCTGCTTGTGGCTCCTGCCTTGTGCCATCTTTAAAAACAAAATTGAACTAATGACTTCTGCCTTATCTCTGTCCCATTCATGGTCTCTTGGGATTTAACCCTCTGTTTAAATTTCCAAAATCTAAGCATTCTGCTGCAGCATTTCTCTATTCTCATTTGGACCAGTATATTCTAGCAGTTTCAAATTATTTTTGAAGGATGCATGCAACTTTGGATTAATAGGCAACAGAGTTTTTAAAATAAATGTTTCAGACCATGACCATTTCCATCCATTGAAGAACCCAATCAGTTCAAGTGAGAGCCCGTGGCATGCCCGTCACATTTCTGCCTAAAGCATGTGTCAATGATGTCTCATTCAGGTTAGCATCAATAGACGCCTCTTTGTAATTAGGAGTTAAATGGAAAGTCCAACAATCCTAGAATTCATTTAAAGTCATAATACATTTTTCAGTAGTTCACAACCTTGCCATTCTGTTTTTTCCCGTCAAGAAATGCTGTCTTTTCTTACCAGTAACAGTCAATAGAAACCTCGGCATTGGCAAGAGAAGAAATCTAAAATGCGTTTCCATGTCTGTGATGGAGGACCACATGTCCTTTTCCTGACCCAAACAACACACTCTTTGGCTCTTGCAGTTCACTGCAGGCACAGTGGATTGGTGTGCTGTGCTGTCATGACACTGTATTTATCAAGTTGTGTGACTGATTTCTCCCATGTCCATATGGTTTAGTGAAAGAAGGCAAAGAAAATGTCTTGACTTAACTAAATGGACATTGAACAAATACTGCAGATGAGGCATAAAACTTTACCACCTTCAAATTTACTTTATCAATTGCTCTCACAAGGGGGACATTAAAATGAAGAAATCCAATGCTTTGTGATTAAATTCTATGAAACTCAGCAACCACTATATAATTTCTTTAGCGTGACTTGTTTATTAAAAAGTTCTTTTAAAGCAAATGGCTAGAACAGTGGGTCTATACTCGAGTGTTTACCTCACATATGCATGAAGTAAAAATAAAAAGTTGGATCAACGATTACATGTTCACATTATCCAGGCTTCCAAGTGTAGTTGTTGTGTGCTGATTAGCTGTGTTTATGTGATAACTGTGATTTTTTCCTGTATCGCATGCTTTTGCCTAAGTAGTTTTGTCTGCTTGGCTTTTTTGTTGTGCTCCTGGCTGCTACATTTAGTTTTTTTTAAAAGTATGTATTGTTTCCCCTTACATTTGGCTCCTGTGTTTGTCTTTCATACCTATCCATCCAACTGTGTCTGTGTTTTGTGCTTTCTCGTTTGAGATGTTCAATTTGTTTTGTGTTCCTTTTTCTATATATACTTGAGACGTTTAAAACAACAACAAAAATGCTTTCTTACTTACTCACTGCAAAACTATCAACATGCATGATTCTACATTTGCATTGGAATTAACATGGCTTGTCTTTTACTAGGGATGTGCCACATGAGTGGATGTTCGCTTTCTTTAACTCGTGCGCTCCATCAGTTCTGGACACAGTTCTGATGGCTTTAAACTCATATGGTTTTAACATTGCAGCTGATTCAGACATTCAAAATGCACAAAACTGAGCCACCCGTTTATGCATTTGGCATCCAGAGACTATGGACTACAGCTGCCTGCTCTTCCGTAACCATGCACCACATTTTTCACCCCTCTTCAAAAAAAATTATATAAATCACAAGGCAGTGATTTGATGAAAAAAGACAGTTACCACTGACATCTCTTATCTTTTCCCTCCTCTCAGATCCGCGTCGTGAAGGCATTCCGTAGCTCTCTCTATGAAGGTTTAGAAAAACCAGAATCTAGAACCTCCATTCACAACTTTATGACTCATCCTGAATTTAGGATAGAAGATTCCCAGCCCCATATCCCTCTCATTGATGACGCAGAACTAGAAGAAGACCCTGCACTCAAGCAAAACCCAAGTCCACCATCCTCACTGAACAAGAACAATAGTGCTATTGACAGTGGAATAAACCTTACGACTGACACAAGTAAATCAGCTACCTCTTCTAGTCCAGGAAGCCCTATCCATAGCCTGGAGACATCCCTTTAGCTGAAAAGGTCACTGCAAAAATAATGATATAAATAATAAATATATATATATATACATAAACAGATACGTATAAACAATGCTGGCTGAGAAGCTGTTTGAACTGCTGTTTGCAATGGACAAGGGGGGGAGTGACTCACCGATTGCAATGGTTTGGGGGGGGGAATGAATGGCTGATTTACATCTTCCCCTCTTAATCCCCTCTTCCTCCTGCAGAAACAAACAAAAACAATACAAATGCCCTCCTGCATGAATGTACTCCCATTTCCAAACTTCCCTTCTTTTTATTCCATACGCAGGAAATGCAGAGAATTTGTCTGAGGCAATTTATCCAATTCACTGTTGTATGAATTTTTTAAATGCTTGTGTGGCATGGACTCAATTGTATAGATTAATTTAAATAACCTTTTCAAAGTTGCAAAGCTTAACTTGCACAGTAGATTTGCACCAGTTGGACAGAGGAACCTAAAATAAGCATTTATGAGACTATATATAGAGATATATAAATAATATATTATAATGATATATGTGTATATATCCATATCTATATATAGATATATAGATATTCATATATATATATCCATATATATCCATATATATAGCTATAGATATACACATATATATGCATTTCTTTGTTGGCATGTTGCCTTTTTCTGCTCAAATTGCTCTATTTTAACTTATTTATGTCCTAAAAATAAAGAATGTAATTTGTTTACAGAGTTGTAGATAATAAATATCCTTAACTATTTAGGATTAAGACAGCACTTCCTGCCGAGATAATATACAAATTGCTCAATTGAATGAAATTTCTGCAATATGGCACCCTGGATGTTTTATTACAACTGTGATCTGATTTTGCCTGATAAGAGTTCTTTTTGTTTTGTTTTCAGTTTAATAATGTAGATATTGCTAGCAAATAACAAAAGAAGCCAAACTATAACACACTGGATGTAGCATTGTGATCCTGTACAGGGAGTGATGAAACAGAACGGCTTCCTTTGTTTTAAATACAAATTTACATGATCAGGTTTTTTGCTCTCTCTCTTTTTTAATGAATTGTTTGACTTTGTTTTGATGCAATACATAACAACGAGGCCATTTCCTTATTTAAGTGGCTTCTTCAACATTTTTTTAAAAGATTATAATGCAGCTCAGTGGAGTTTCTGAATATCAGTTCAAAACTAAGCTGTATTTGGCTTTGTATAGGGATCAAGCTAGCGTTGAAATATTGTGTGCTGATTCTGTTCCATTAGGAATTTAGGCTTTTATTTCTTGTCAAATATGGGCTGTTGGCATTTTGGATGAGAGCCACTATGGTTTATTGCTTTCACTGAAAAAGAAAAAAATCATTTTATGCACTATGTAGACCTGAATGAAACTTATGAAGTGTATACTAAAATGTGCTTTGTGTGATTATTTTAAAACCAAGTTTGTCTTCCTATAGTCACATAACTATAATCCAAGAATGTTTTTCCCCCATATTATTCTGCTTTCCACAAGGAAGACCACTGAGAACATCTGCAATATTGTGGGAGAGTTTTGTTTTCAAGATGGTAACAGCCCTGGTAATTTAGAAGTTGATATAATTATTATGTCAACTACTTGAACACAAAGCACTTTGTGGATCATAGATTTTTCATAAAATGACTTTTGTATTTAATACAAAGTTTGATTCAAGACTTTTCAGCATATGATCTTTTCCATAAAACTGTACAGTGCAAAAAGACATTTTGATTAATATACAATCAATTATGCTAGAAAGGTTGGGCGAAAGGCCCCTTTAATGAGTTTGAAAATGTTGTTATCACATTGCCTGCTGTTTTAAAGTTGGCTAATAAAGCAGAACAACTCTGTAGTCAGAAGAACTATTGCACGCCAGAAACCCTTCCAACAAGATGAGATTCCTGGTTAAACCACAGTTTGGAGTGGCTAACGCTCTGAGGTTGTACAGTGACTATTCAGCCAGGTAAAGTGCTGACCAGCTTGAATTGCCAGCTTCTGGACTTTCGGGAGAAGCTTTTAATGTCTCTTGGCTCTGCAAAACTCACACTCATCCAGACGTCTGGCAGAAGACCTCATCTTCCCAGGCTTAAACAACCCTCTTCTCAACAGACCATTTCTTAACTCTCAGAGCTGGCCTAAGAGCCAAACACAGCAGCTTATGATTAGAATCAAACTAATGGAAAGTTAGTGAGGGTTCAGCCTTGGACTACAAATAACACTGGCTACCTTTTGTGTAACACTGTGGTTCCGTGTTCTCCTTGGGATAGCATAATTGAGAAAATAAAGTCTATATACAGGGGAAAGCATGTGGCTTCGGACTCAAGCATCTCCAAAACCATGGGTACTAGATTTTATCTTATTTCATCATCTTAATATGGATGATTTGCCTTTTATTTTAAGTTTTTCATCACATTCTTTTTAAAAAATCATTTTGTGTGTGTATGTGCATTGTAATACTGCTTTTGAAATAACCATTAGGGTACCAGTTGCAGACTTGAAAATACTGTTTAAAAACACAAACACTCCATTCTGTACATATATAGTTAAAAGAAGGAGAAAGAAAATAAAGCATATATTATTTGTGATGCATAGGAAACTTTGGATTCTGTAAACAGAAACCGTGCTTTATGTATATGATAAAAAGACTTTTTTTAAAAAAATGAAGGAAGATGAGCTAAAACAACTTTTCAGTTATGAGCTGTGTATATGTTCCCTTTCTATATTGCTTGCCCTCTTTGTGACAGGAAGAATGGATCAAAAAACCAAAATGATCTATATGTTGAAATTCACTGCAATACATAAAATGCTTGCTCTGGATGTACTGTACCTAAAAGCATGAGATTTGTGGAAAATTACAGCAGTACATTTGGCAATCCATCCCACTAGGGGCTATTATTCCTATATGTTTATTCATCTGTTTTTATGAATTTTTTAAATCTAGACAATAATTGTAAATAAAGAACTTACTGTCTCTGTTCATTTAATACTATGCAAAAGGTTATGCTTTCTATTGTTATTCCTACAGTGTGATGCTGGAATGTTTGTGGTTTCAAAAACAAACAAACACAAAAGTAAAATATGTGATGTAAATTATTTTATAGTTTGAAACAAAATGATAATGTTTTACTCTTGCTGCTTACTGTCTAATAGATATCTCCTAGCAGGAGCACAAGTGGAAACTAAAAGGAAAAATATAATAAATTCACAAAGCAGCATGAACAATAAAGGTCTGGATATAACATCCTTCTTTATTTCAACTTTCAGTGGATACAACACACAACATTTAAAAATCACTGGATCATGCAGTCCCTGAAATGTCAGATATTTTTTGGATAGGAGAAAAGATTATGTTGAATCAGAATTCCTGATAAGTTATGGATACAAGGGATACAGTTGGCCTCCTTATGAAGGAAGGGGCCTGTGGTTGTGGGTTAATAGAGAGGACTTTTCATTGAACAGTATTTGAGTATCTGGTTGGTAAGCCATGACCTGCTCTCATCTAGATGAGTATACTAGGTGGATTTTAGTGAAACATAACTGGTGAGGAGGATTTCCCCACTGATCAAATCCAGCTATGAAGTAAATTATCTTCATTATTTTGCTATGCCAAGGGAAGAAGTTTACTGTGGCTACTAGTTAGCATCCTGTTTGTGGCTTACACCATCATAAGTCACTTTTTCAGTCATTGCAGGGGTTAAAAGTGTACTGACGATGCACAAAATGTTCCAAGTAATGTTACTGTTCTGCACCTGGCTCTATGAACATAGCCCGACAATGCCCCCTTCCTCTATAGATCACTATATAATAATATATAGTAGTAATAATAATAGTAATAATAATAATAATCTTTATTTTTATACCCCACCACCATCTCCCCTAGGGGATTCAGGGCAGCTTATACAGGGAAAGCCCAGAATTACAGATAAAAACAGAGACACAGTTGAAATCAATAAAAAATTAGTAAAACATAATACAATCAAAAACAGCATCATAAAAACAATATGGCTGGCATGAAGCTCATAGTTGAGATCAGGCTCAATGAGTGCAAATAATCCTTAAAAGGAACAATGGAAAGTGCAGAAAATTGAATGAACAGGGGCTAGGGAATGGCCATGGGGCCTCTGCAGCTAAGAGGTGGGTTTAAAAGAATGCAAGAAGAGACATAGCACAGTTCCATGTATTGAAATTTTATCCTGCATTTTCCCATTATAGGAAAGAGAAAGACTATAATTAAAAATGTTTGACTGAAGCAGGGTAGGGATAAAACTCCCACCACTTTTTGGGTAAGTGAGACCAATGCTGATTTGCTGTTTTTTCAGTAAGTTATTACTTTAGGACTGCAATACTCCCCCCCCCCCAGATTACACTACTTCCAGAATGAATTGAGAGTTGCTGAAGCCCCCCACCAGGCAGAAGTGTCAATTGCACAAGCATTTGGCTATGTCCCTGTAGCTAGGTGCAAAATGAGCACATCATCCACTGAGATCTAGTGGTCTCAGCAGATGATGTAATCATTTCACATCTGGCTAAGAAAGCATTACAAGATGTCACTCTAATATGTCCCACTCTCTTCCAGGCACAGAAGGATTGTGGGAATGGAGCTCAGTGGCCCAGTGGTAGGTCTAGGGACAGTAGAGTATGGAATTAAATTCTGCAACAAACAAAACTACACTAACAGATTGTCAGCTAAACAGTGCATGCCATACCATCTTATAAACAGGATAATGCAGCCAGTGCTAGAACATTGATGCTGTATGCAGCCATCTCCCCCATTTTAATTCGTTCATTTTAATTGCTCCATTTTACAGTTTTTAGTGTGGACAAATATTTCAGAGAATCGTGAGAATATTAGGCAACTATTTGAGTTGTTGTTGTTCATTCGTTCAGTCGTCTCCGACTCTTCGTGACCTCATGGACCAGCCCACGCCAGAGCTCCCTGTCGGCCGTCACCACCCCCAGCTCCCTCAAGGTCAGTCCAGTCACTTCAAGGATGCCATCCATCCATCTTGCCCTTGGTTGGCCCCTCTTCCTTTTGCTTTCCAGATGCAGGTTAAATATTAAATGTACTTATGGTCTTTACTGTTTGGCCTAAGTGAAAGATATTTTGAGGATGAAATCCTAGGCCTCTTCATGCTACATAGCTGCTGTATTATGATTTGACTTTAATTGCCTTGGTTGCATCCTGTGGATTACCCCTAGTAGTGCTCTCTCTTGATGAAAGCTCTAAGTGTTCTTCCCTAAACTGTAAATCCCAGGATTCCATGGTATATAGCCATGGATGTTTAAATGAAACCATAATGCAATGATATTATAGTGTGGAAAGCCCCTCCATATCACTCAGTGTACTTTTGCTGGATACTTCATCCTCCCTCCTCTACATAGAAAGCACCTTCTCAGCAGTGTAGCCATTTAGTAGACAGATAGTAGGTGGGAATTCCTGAATATGTCCAGTTGCAATTCTGTAGCTGGGAGAAAGGAGCAGTCATCGTCCCTTAAACATCCAAGATGATGACAGTTTCCCCATTCTGCCAGAACTGCTATTTGATTATACTCACTTTCTACTGGCTACTATACGTTCAACTCCACCAGCTATTAAATGACTTCCCTGTCCCTCCTGCATCCACAAAATGGCCACAGAGTCATATATTAGTACAGTAGGTCCTCAGTATCCATTGGGGTTGGTTGCAGGACCTTCTATGGATACCAAAATCCTAGGATACTCAGGTCCTATTGTATACAGTGGTGTAGTAAAATGGTGCCTTTATATAAGATTTCCTTTTTTAGGAATCTGTTTTGAAGTATTAGTTGAATCCAAGAATGGTTGAATCTGTGAATGAAGAATGCATGAATATGAAAGCTTGCTATACTGTGAAATTCCCTTGCAAGGCGAGAGGGAGTGTTGCACATAGGGGTACTGGATACCTCCTTACAAAACAAACATAAAAGCAAATATGCTCACATATGTACCTGGGCATTGCATATGAAAATCCAACTGATGTAGATTATACAATGGAGGTTAAGGTGCTCTTATTTTTTCCTGGGCATCCATGTGATTTAAAGTGACTTATTGCGACATAAACTATGGCAGGAACAACCACTTTTGCTTATCTCATTTGAATGCTCAAGGGAGATGGAGCCTAAGGGAAAGTGAAGGTTATTAGAATGTTGTAATAATTATAATGACAAAATGGAATGTAAATCAGGTATAATGTTAGGTTAATATAAATATATATCATACACTAATTGTAAAATGCCATAGTTAGAATTAAGAACCCATGTTTATTTTAAAACCTTGGTTTTAATACATTAAATTATTATATTAATTACAATCCCCTTATGATTAAAATTAATACATATACATTAGTGATGATATTTCACTATATAATATTTTCATAGTTTTAAATTAACTTGGAAAACCATGAAATATCAATTAATTTATGATGCCATAGTAGCACTGACAATAGCTTAGAAGCAGCAAATTAAAGACTCCCTGCTACAGTTGACTGGTGAAAGCGTTACGAAACCAAGGTTTCTGCTTGGCTGATCATTGACAGGGTTGACTTGGAGTGAGTCAACACTGCACTCTACATCTTGGTCTAGTTCAAAACAGAAATATTTCAGATTGGCCCTAAAGGCAGCAAGCCAGACCTGGCCAAACCTGTCACAGTATTACACTGGCATTCTGACAGTATAGCCAGGCTGAGACCACTTTGGCCCCACTTGACTGTCACCTCACCCTTCGGGTCATTGTTGCTGCTTCCAGATAAACACAGAGCTCTGAGCTGCTGGCCATTGTGGGCATCTCGCTCTGACATCAGCAGTGACACCCACATGACCAGGAAGAAGGAGGGGTGGCATAGGCATGATTCATCCTCATTCCCTGTGCTAATGAATACAGTGTAAGATTGATGGTGCTAGTGCCTCATCTTAATTATAGAATCATACAGTTGGAAGAGACCACAAGGACCATCTAGTCCAACTCCCTGCCATGCAGGGAAATGCAAAGCACTCCTGACAGATGACTATCCAGCCCATGTTTAAACATCTCCAGAGACTGAGGTTCCACCTCACTCCAAGGCAGCAAATCCCACTGTTGAATAGCTCTTACTATCAGGATGTTTTCCCTAATGTTTAGGTGGAACCTCTTTTCCTATAGTTTGAATCCATTGCGCCTTGTCCTAGGTTGTGTCTACACTCTAGAATTAATGGAATTTGATACCATGTTTTTGTGTCACGGCTCAATGTTATGGAATCATGAGAGCTATAGTTTGATGAGGCACCAGCATTCTTTGGCAGAGTAGGCCAAAGATCTTGTAAAGCTATCACTTCCATCCTTTGATAGCACTGAGGCATAACAATTAAATTGGTCTCAAACTGCATTATTGTGCAGTTTTGCTGCACTCCTAGTCTCTGGCACAGCAGAAAACAAGCTTTGCTGGTTCTTCAATATGACCTGACCCCACTATCCGGATATCTCTGAAGCCATAAGGTTTCTTGCCCATGTAGAATTTCCCTACATTGCTCCAGAACAATGGATTAATACATTAATCTGTTTGCTAATGTAAGTGGAGCTGTTCAATTTGGTGACAGGTCAGTTTTCACTTTTTTCCCTGGTAGAAGAGCACAAAAGTTTAGGGGTTGTTCTTTATAATCTCTAGCTCTCAGAGTTGCATGTCAAGTCACTGATTTATCTACCAAGTCACATTCCTTTTACAATTTATTATTAATAATATATTTGTATGCAGTTGATTTACAATGACTTCATCAGAGGGCATTCTTTGTTCAGAAGAGAATTCCCCTGTTGCCTTCCTTTGGGGTTGTGACTTCCCTGCCCAGTGAATTTCCATGGCTGGATGGGGATTTGAACTCTTTTTTCAGAGCCATTGTAGAGTACTCAAACCATAACACCATACTGGCTCTCATGTTTGAGGTATTTACTGACAAACACTATAGAGATAGCGAGGAAGGCTAATTTCAGAAGGACATTAGCCTAGGTTGGAGATCAAAGCAAAAATGAAACTATGGAACCAAAGTATGATATATAGTAATTTAAACCAAATGTGAGGTTATTCTATATTTCTTCATGAAGAGTACAGTAAGCTTGACAAGCAAATTGTGTTTTACTAGGAAAGGATAAGCACATATTAAGATTTTACATACAAACAGCTGTATAAAGAACAAGTGCATTTAAACGAATACACTTATGTTTTCCACTTTCCTTGCAAC